GGGATCCGAACCCTCGGCGGGAGCGCTACCGCGCTTCCCAAGTGGCGCACTGTAGCAGTGCGCCACCGGGCCGGCCCAAAAATAGCTAAGTTTTAAATCTATAAATTTAGCAAACTATATCTCAGCAAATTATTATTTTTAAGAACTCTAGAACTATTTAATGCATGATATACTAATATATTTAAAGGGTTTTTAGACTATAGGACTTGTCTACACAAACGAATACACAAATGAAATGCTCTTCTTAATAGGACTAACATATTATTAACACTACTTTATTCAAAGCATTAAATCAACAATATAGAATACTTTGTGCATTTGTTCCTATACTTTAATGTACAAATGAATCACCTGAGGAGCTTATATAGGTTCTGAATCATAAGGTCCAGGTTGGGACCTGAGTTCTGCATATCTAAGTCCCTGCAGGATGCTGATGCTACTTGTCTGGGGATGACATTTAAAATGATACGGTTGGAAAGAACAGAAAATATCCAGAACAGAATTAATTATGGATGTGTTTAGATCTTTTATTTTCACTGACTTCATTTCTTTAATTTGCTAGTTTACTTTTGATGCCAGGAACATTTTATATCAATTTATTATATTTTATTTAAACATATGTTAAAATTAATCATTTTGTTTTGTTTCATAACAACCCTTCTGATCTGATAATGGTAAACACTATTTAATGACATTACTTTCTAAACTGGAGAGGTCAGTGTAAATTTCCTGGGCTCTGGTCTTAGCTCTGGTGCTCACTTAACAATGCCATCTTAGGCAAGTTGTTCAACTTCCTGTTTTTTCATCTGAAAAATGGAAGAACTGATTTAGGTCACAGGTTTCTAGATACATACTTTTAGAAATCAGAGTTCATTCTTCAAATAACCAGCGGTGAAACTAGTCTAGGTGATCTAGAACCACACTATTACAAGCAAAACTTTCTTACAATCTAATTTGACTAATATGAGCACTCGGATGCTTATCAACAGTAGAGACAAACTTGTCTTTTTTGTTTGTTTGATTGGTTTTGTTCTTTTTTCTTAGATTTAAGATTTAATTGGTCTGAAGGTGCTATTTTGGGGAGCATGGTCTTTTTCCTAATAGATATGTAAGGCATTCCCGCACATAAATTTCGTACATCTTCATACTGTTGTATGCCATTCGCCATCTTTACAGTGAACTGATATGCATTTAATTTGTCATGAGTTATACTAGTATGTGGTGCTGATAGACCTAACACCAAATTCAAAATACTTCTTTAAAAAATTTTTAGTTGTTTTAAACCTTGAGTTCAAGCATTTGCTTTCATATAAATAGTGAAAAACCATTGTCTTGTTTTTTAGAATTGAGTCATTTGGAACAGCAACTTGAAGAAGCTAATTCTGTGAGGCGAGAACTAGATGATGCTTTTAGACAAATCAAGGCTTATGAAAAGCAAATCAGAACGTTACAACAAGAAAGGGAAGACCTAAATAAGGTAAAAATGAGTAGATTGTTAAAACGTTTTCTGTATTCATAATCTTGTATAATTACAATACTGAAGGCATTCATATGAATTACAAAAATACATAGTATACTTTTCTTTAAAAGAAGTTGGTTTTAAAACTTAAGAATTATTTTGGCGTATGTCATTTGATTATATACTACTAATGAAACTTCTATATTCTTTACGCTTTAAAGGTCAGAATCCTTTTTTAAAAAAACGTTAATAATCAAAGGATTGATTAAAAGTGAATATTATTGAAAAAGAAACATGAAGAAATAAGAGAATAGTAGAATCTGTTAAGTCTGTATAAAAAAAATTAAAAATACAGGCATATTTTCATTATATCTTGCTGATGTGAACATTCTTAAAAGATTATAATTTAAGATTTCTTTGCTGATTTAATTTCTTTTAAAATGTTGGTTTATCTTTCAAAGCAGGATGGATAAATAAGCGAAGGTCATTTTCATAAGAATTTTGTGTAATACTTAAACAGTATTATAAAATGTCAACAAAATTTATTGATAATAAGACTGTGTAGCACCGCCCAAAAGGGTGATTAATATTTGAGCACTAAAGTGAATGCCTTACTTGAACCACATGCTGTTGCTGTTAAGTGCTGAGGCTTTCATTAACATGCAAAAAATGTTAGGACCGATACTAGCCAGCACATACAAGAAATCAGCAGTTTATGGCAAAGTGCAAATTGTATTCAATAATGTAATATTCAGAGTGAAGCTTTTCTTGGGAGGATTTATAAGTCTTTCTGCCATTAAAGAAACAGAGGGAATTAAAAGTGAAAGGAATAACGTTTTGCTGATGAAGCTAATCAAAAGGACTAACAGAGAAAGCTATTAAAGATTAAATTGAGTTAGATCAGTACATTTTTACTTTCTGCTTAATGCAGTTTCAAGCAGTGTTTTGTTTAGATCCAGTTGAATTTATGGCCAATTTAATATTTGGCATTAATAATAGATGTTCTATTTGCTTTAATAATATAGTAATATAGTAATATTTGTGGTTTACTACTTTGTATTGGTAGGATTACTCAGTTAAATTTAGTTATTAACATAATAAGGATGGAAATCTGATATCTACATTTATAGTAACAGATATTTTTCCAATTTTTAATAAATTTTAATGTTAAAAATCCTTTCAGAATATTTTGAGGAAAGGGTAATGCTGAAAAGGAGCAGATTATACCAATAAAGAATTTTAAGTGATTTGCTTAATATCCTACTAATAAATTTTAATGTTAAAAATCCTTTCAGAATATTTTGAGGAAAGGGTAATGCTGAAAAGAAGCAGATTATACCAATAAAGAATTTTAAGTGATTTGCTTAATATCCTACAGGCAGTAGAAATCATCATTCTCCACATCCTTGCCAACATTTTTTATCTTTTTGTCTTTCTGACAATAGTCATTCTAACATGTGTGAGGTAATATCACATTGTGGTTTTGATTTTCATTTCTCTGATGATTAATGATGTTGATAACCTTTTCGAATACCTATTGGCTATTTGTATGTCATTCTTGGAGGAATGTCCATTGAGGTTCTTTGCCCATTTTTAATTGGGTGTTAAATGATAATGCCAAATCATTTTCCAGTGTAACAATTTACATACCCACCAGTAGTGTATAGGAGTTTCTGTGTTCAACAGTACTTCATATTACCAGATTTATTACCTTTGGCCAAGCTAGTCTAAACTGAGATTTTTAGATCTAAAATGATGTTTAATGTGGTTTCAATTTGCATTTCTCTAATTTCTAATGAGGTCAAGTATCTTTACATATGACTATTTATCGTTTACATTTCTTCTTTTGAGAAATGCCCATTAATATTTTTTGTACATTTTTCTGTTAAATTGTTTATCTTTTTCTTACTGGTTTGTAAGAATCCTTAAAAATTTCTGGATATGCTAATCTTTTATCAGTTATGTTTGTTACAGATGTTTCTCAGTTAGTGGCTTGCCTTTTTACTTTCTTTTTTCTTTCTTTTTTTTTTTGTGTGTGTGTCTTTTTGTGTGTGTGTGTGTCTTTTTTTTTTTTTCTCCGGCAATGGATTGCAACCCTCAGTGTTGCGCCCGTACTGGACCGGGACCGGCAAGGGGATCGCAACC